TCATGCCCACAACCTCACCACTCTTGTCTGGCCTCCTCTCCCATCCCAGTTTTCAGCCTGCCTTCCCTGAGGTCTGCTTAAGGATACTTCCCGCTTAAAACCTACCTACGGCCCTGCCATTCTGACGTGGAATGCCTGTCCTCCACCCTAGCCTCATCAAAGCCTCTCTCTCTCTCTCTTTAAGGCCCAATTCAAAGGCCTCCTCTTCCTCCAAGAAGCCTTCCCTGGGCCTTTCCTCTGCTTCTCTCTCCAAGCCCTGAGTGTTCTTTATCATGTCCCGTGGCCCTCAGGACATGATTGTTAACCCCTCTGACCCCCAGATTCTGCATTATAAAGGGATTCTTATACGACTTCCTGGGGTGGTTGGGGAATAAATAATATGAGCAGAGCTCCTGGCACAGGGCCTGGCACATAAATGACTCCCTAAGTTATGGTTCCTAACATTTACAAACCTGTTGCTTGTAGAGCGAGAATGTGCTTGAGTTCATCAGTTGGAAGATGATTAAGGCATCAATTTATTCAGTGAGGGCAGCCCTAGAGCAACTGCCCATCAGTTGGGTAGAAGTGACGGAGTCCCCCTGTAAAATAGTTTGGAATCACACTAAGGTCATCTCTGGGCCCCTGAAACATTCTGAGCAAGAATAAGACTGGATAATTGTGATTAGCTCTGATGAACTTAACACTGGCGAATTTACTGAGAGCTTACCATGTACCAGCCACTGTCTTAAGCACTTTATGTGTATTAACTCATTTAATACTCATACCCCGCAAGGTCCCAGTACTGTTGCCATTTTGTAGATGAGAAAACAGAGGCATTGAGATCTGAGGTCACTTGCCCAAGGTTGCACAGTAGTGAGTGCTATAAGCAGGAAACTCAGGAAACCAGAGTCAGGCTGCCCTCCAAACCCTTTACACCATGCAAACTACGTCTGCCTGCCCCTACCACCCCTGCCTCTCATGTTCGCCCTCGCCTGTTGGGAGGGTCACTTGAGACTATGACTATGGCACTATTGTAGGAATGACTGTCCCTGTGAGCCCAGGGGGTCATGACAATGGCCTCACAGCTCTGCCATCCAGGCCCCTGAGGTCTGCCCCTGGAGCGACCCCACCCGCCTGGCTCTGTCCTCCAGGGTCCTACAGCCCTGTCCACTCCGTCTTGCCCCAGAGCAGCCCAGTGGGGACTTGGAGGTGGTGTGTCTCCGAGCTGAGCAGTCGGCTCCTGTACCCAAGCCAGGGTCCTCTGAGGTCTGTGCGGCGAGCAGATGTATCTCCCCTGATGTAGAGCTTGTGTCTCCCATAAATCAGAGAGGCCTGTTCCTGGCCTAATGGACAGAATGGCGGAAGTGGCCTCCTGATTATAAATGTCCCTGCCCTGACAGGGCTTTTAGCAGCTCAGTCAATAGCCCATCAGACTGGCTAATGTCTGTTAATGGGATCCTCAGCACAAAACCCTTTTAGCCACAGAGCAGCCTGCTGGTGCTCTGTGGGGAGGACCAGCTATCCCTTGTTCTCTGAGTAGGAAGAGAAGCTGTCTGGGGCTGGGGCCTCTGCTCGTAGAGGCCTGGGAGGAGCGCTGGCCCAAGGTCAGATCTGTCAGGAGTTGCCCATCTGAGCCCTGTGTGGTCCCGAAGCACCTCCTGAGTCTGTAGCTGGGCTGACTTGGGAGGTGTGGGTCTGAATGGGGCTCCTGAGCAATTTGCCTCCTGTCAGCCAAGGCCAGCCTGACAATCAGCTCCTCTGAGGAACCCTCAGGGCAGAAATTGGGGCATGGCCCTGGGCCAGAGTGTAGAGATAAAGGCCCTGAGAGCATTTGGGCGTGCCATAGCAAATGACCAGCACTGCTCATGCCCTTTGACCCAGGAAATGATCCAAGAAAAGGGAAGAGTTCTTGGCAGGCGGTAGGAGACTGACTCAGAGAAGCCTGGTGCTCCCTCAGAGCACAGTCAGGACACCACAGAGCCACACTTGGCAGCCAGAGCCCTGGACCCCAGCCCAGCTCTGCCCCTTACATTCCCTGTGATGCTGGGCAAGTCTGGGGTCAGTGAGAGAATGCCGTGATCTACTAGTGATGCCTGCCACTGTTGCAGGATAAGAGAGCTTTGCTGTGTTTTTACCATCCTGGTTTGAGAGCCCTTCAAGTTCTACAGTTTTATAATAAATTTTTGGCAAATGCTGGAAGGACCCCTCTTTTCAGAAAATCTGTGGTTTTGTCTTAAATACTTTTTTTATTGTAAAATTTGCACAGTTTTAATAGAAAGTTTGGAAATTTTTTAAAAAAGAAACAGATAATAAAAACCACCCATTTATCCTACCCTCTAGAGATAATCATGAATAACATTTTGATGCATTCCCTTCCTTTCTCAGTTTTGATATACACATGTACATGTGCACGCACACACGTGCACATACACGCATACATATAATGGCTGCTCTTATTTGAGCACTTACAATAGGCCATCACCATTCGGATTTTTGTGCACAATATCTCATTTTACCCACATAACAAACCTGCAAGGAAGAGATTATTATTCACATTTTATAGATGAGGATAAAGAGGCTTGCAAAATTTGAGCAGATGCAATCAGATATTAGTTCTTGTAAACTTGCCTGATGACAGCATGGAGAGAAACCTGGAGGCTGGATGAGGGGTCCATGGCTGGACCGCGGTCCCATGCAGACCTGAGCCGGGGCCTGTGGGTGCAGTGTTCTCTTTCCAGGGCCCTGGCTGTAGGTGCTGCCCCTGTTGCAGGGGGCAGGGAGCATGCACCGTTTTTCCCTGTCCAGGGACCCATTTTTTTCAGCCATCAAGAAGTCTGAAAAGAAATGGAACTTTTCGCCCACCTCCTCACACATCACTATCAAATGACACTAGTCCAAATACTCTTTTACTCTCTCTTTGAATATATAGTGAGGGTATAATTTTTTTTTCTGAACTCTTTGAGGGTAACTTACATACACCTTTGCCCTTTATCCTAAATACTTATGAACTTCACTAATTTTAACATTGAAACAGTACTTTACCATTCACTTTCTAATTTGTCAAATAATGTCCTTTATAGAGTTCCCCGTCCAGTAAGGGATCCAGTCTAGGGTGAGGTGTATAATACCGCTTCTTGAGGGGTGAGAGCTGAGTTGAGTATTTCTGAAGAGGAGCCCAGGGCCGCCGCCTGTATTTGCAGAGCTACTAAGATGCGGACATACAGCCCCCCAAAAGCCGGGGGCTTGGTTGTCTGTCCCTAGTTTGCCCAAGGTGACAGGGAAGCCCTGTGTCTATTCTCATAGCAGCTGCCCACTTCACAGCCTTGCTGAACAAGGTTGGAGATCACCTGCAGCATCTTTGCGCAATCTCAGTGGGCATGGTCTCAAGACATCCCACAAAAGTGCAGGGGTCTCTACAGAGTTGGGGAGAGGAGGGAAGGGGACGCTGGGTGTTCCCTGAGTTCACTCTGTTCTTGAAAGTTCCTTTTTAAAGATCCCAAGACTGTTGATTCTTCAAAGTCAAGTACTGCATCTTATGTTCACCTAGCACCTCGGATAGTACCTGTCTGCTAGGTTTCTCATAAAGATTTGCTGAATGAAAGGATGTTGGCCAGTTTTCTTCTCAGTTGTCACTTTCACTTAGATATACAGCGGTCAGGGGAGCATTCTGGTGGGTGGGCTCCAGAGCCTGAGGCTGGATGGTGGATGCGTGCCATGACTGCGTGGGCAGGCGGAGCTCCTGGGCCCTGCTCCCTGTTCTGCCGGGACCATGCAGTGTGATGTGTAAAATGAGTATGTCGGTCCCTGCCAGCTCCAAGTTTCTGTGACTGAACCAGTGTGACTGCCCCATGATCCAGGAAATCTCAGCCTGTCAGTGCAGTTGGAAAGCTCGAGGCTGCGTGGCGTGGGCTGTGGGACCTGTGTATCCTCCCAGCACCTATATAGGAAATCTCAGCAGGAAAGGGGGGAAGGGAAGGAAATGCCCTTTCTTTTTCATTGCAATATAAGTCACACACCATAAAATTCACTATTTTAAAGTGTACGATTCAGTAGGTTTTAGGAGATTCCATGGTTGTGCAACCATCACCGCTATCTAATTTCAAAATAATTTCATCACCCCCCAAAGAAACTCCATACCCACTAGCAGTCACTACCCATTACCCCCTTCCCCAAGCCGTTAATCTGCTTTCAGTCTCTATGGCTTTACCTGTTTTGAATTTTTCATATGCATTAGTCAGGGTTTTGAATACCAGGTACAAGGAGATGTGCTCAAGCAATTCAACCACATCCGATACATCATGTAAGTGGAATCATAGAATATTTTGTGACTTTTTATGTCTCACTAATTTTACTCAGCGTAACGTCTTCAAGGTTCATCCATGTTGTAGTGCAGATCAGTAGTTCGGTTTTTTTTTTTTTTGGCTGCATAATGTTCCTTTGTATGAATATACTATATTTTGTATAGTATATCTATTCATCTGTTGATGGACATTTAGGTGGTTTCCATCTTTTGGCCATTGTGAACAGTGCTGCTGTGAACACTGGTGTACCATTTTTTGTAGACCTATGGTTTCATTTCTCTTGGGGATATACCTAGAAGTGGAATGACTGAGTCATATGGTAACTCTGTGTTTATAACCTTTTGAGGAGCTGCCAGACTGTTTTCCAAAGTGGCTGCACTATTTTTGCATTCCCACCAGCAGTGTATGAAGAGAAATTACCTTTTATTGAACACCTACTATGTGCTAGGCACTGGGCTAGACCCTTTCCACATTCATCTTCTGTGACCCTTCCAACCCTGTGAAACATCTATCACTGCCTCCATTTTACTGAGGAAGACACTGAGGCTCAGAGAAGTGATGTGACTTCCCCAAGAGTACACAGGGAACAGTGGTAAGTCCTAGATTCATGCCCCTTACATTTTCCTGTCTACTCGGTGATTGCTAACAGAATGGCCATCCAGATGCTAAAGAGGAATTAGCCCCCTCCCGTCCCCAACACCCCTGGGCACTGTTTTGCAGACGGGAAAGTTGGACCCCCACTACCCGAAGGTCTGTGGGCACAGAGGGAACGTCCTAGACATCAAGTGGAACCCTTTCAATGATTTTGAGATTGCCTCCTGTTCTGAAGATGCCACGGTAAGCGTCAGTACATGAGGGCATTCCCTTGACAAAGTGAAGTGGGACTGAGGCAGAGGGAGATGCTGCTGCTGACTCCTTCATCCTCCTTGAGGTGATGTCACACTTTGGGGCTGGGGTAAGTTAGACTGAGGAGAAGTCCTGGGCCTATGGGACTTGGGGCACCACCCCTCCCGTCTATTGGCCTCAGTTCCCCCATCTAGAAGATGGGCATAATAGCTCCCAACTGTCTAGATTCAATGAGATTCATATTCCACTGGGAAGCCCATCTTTTGGGGGAACTAGAAAATGCTATGAGGGGCATGTTTATTGTGGCCAGAAAATCTCACAGACAGTAGGGAAGCAAATTTTAAAAGGACAGAAGTGGGAGCCATTTATGAATATGGACACCAAAACCATCCCAAAGGCTTCAGTCCCACCAACTTTTTTGACCTCCTGTTCTGTACCAGGGACATATAGTTCCTGCTCCCGCAATGTTCAGTGTTAATTATAATTTATTCTATGCCACTTCTAAAATGTGGTGGATATGGCTTAAAACAAAAGACAGATATGATCAGGTGATTCAAATAAGGATACAAGTCATAGTTGTCATTTATTGTGAGCCCACTGTGTTCCTGACTCTCATTATACATATCATTTCACTCAATCTTCCTTCCTGGCAGCTCCGCAAGGTACAGTGTTTTTCTGATGCAGAAGCCAAAGATTTGAGAGGTGCAGCTTTGCCCAGGGTCACAGTTTGTGAAATCAGAGACAGTCTTCAAACTGAGGCCTGATTTCAGAGTCCAAGCTCTTTTCACTGAACTATGCTAGTTCCCTAAAGCACAGCAGCCACAGGTGGAGGAAGTGAGGAAATAAAACTAGAAATGTTGGCAATTGAAGGTTGCTGCTGCTGAGCTCCAGGTTTAGCTCAGAGCTGCCTGGCAGCCAAGGCAAAAAGAGCAATAGAATATTGCAGAACTCCCACTGTCTGGTCAAAGAAAACAGACTAATTCATCAGGAGAAGCAGGTAAAAAATTCTAAGAGGACTTGTGTCAGTTTCCATAGAGGGGATACTGAGGAACATAAAGGGGGCCCCTCCACAGGAAACAGCTTGTCTCTGCCCTGCCTTTCTCCAGAGACTGCACTGGCTCTCTAGTGCCCTGAGGAAACAGCACAAACCCTTCTTCCTGGCATTCAAGGCTCTTCCTTGGGCCTTTTGGACATGGAGGGGGTAGACCACTGTCCTTTGGGGCTATTCTATAGTGGGAGGCAGATTTGCTCTGACATCCAGCCTGGGAGTCAGGCCAGTGCCACCCAGCCGCCCACTGCCTCAGGTTATTAGGATGACAAAGATTACCAGGGGGAAGATAGGGGGCATTGGACTCATCTCTGGCAAATGCCAGCCCCTGCTGCATTGCCAAGGAGGACCTTGGCAAAGCGCCTGTCCCTCTGAGGGGCCCCAGCTGCGCCTCCACTGAGAGAGAGGTGGATAGAGAGAGCTCCCCGACCCTCCTGCTGAGTACTGCCAGTTCTTAGGGTGGCACGGTGCCAAGGTGATGCTGGCTAACATTCCCCCTGGGGCCATGTATCCCCGACAGATTAAGATATGGGACATCCCCAAGCAGCTGCTGTCAAAGAGCCTCACAGCCTGCAGCAAGGAGCTCGTGGGCCACTCCCGCAGAGTAGGCCTGGTGGAGTGGCACCCCACGGCCGCCAACGTCCTCTTCAGTGCCGGCTATGACTACAAGGTGGGTCTGTCTGTGCATTAGCTTCCTGGGGCGGCCTGAACAGATGACCAAGTTGATGGCTTAAGACAATAAAAGTTTTTTTCTCACACGGTTCTGGAAACCAGAAACCTGAAACCAAGGTGTGGGGAGGGCCATGCTTCCTCCAGTGGCTCTAGGGAAGAATCCTTCTGTGTCTCTTCTAGCTTCTGGTGGTTGCAGACATTCCTTGGCTTGCAGCTGCATCATTCCAGACTGCCTTTGTCATCACGTGGCCTTCTTCTGTTTGTGTCTGTGTGTCCTCTCCTCTTCTTATAAGGACACCGGTCATTGGATGTGGGGCCCACCCTAATCCAGTACGACCTGTAACTGATTACATCAGCAAAGACCCTGTGTCCCAATAAGGTTACATTCTGAGGCTCTGGGTGGACATGACTTTGGGGGGACACTAGTCAACCCATTAGTCTGCCTGGAGGGATGAGCTGTACCCTGCACAGGAAGCTCCCCCCTGCTCAGGTGACTGCCAAGCTGGAAGGTTGTGGGCCCTTGTGGATTAGGAAAATTCAAGACACCTAGATTCTATTCCAACTCATGTCTGACTTGCAGTGTGATGCGGGAAAGTCCCTTGTCATCTCGGGGCCTCAGTTTCTCAACCTGTACACACATGGGGTTGGTGTGACCAAAGCTGTGGCTTTTAAACTCTTCCTTTCACAACTCTCTAGGGCTTTACTGAGGTACATCCGGGGCCTCAGTGATGGATAAAATGGGAATGGTTGGGAGGGCCTTTTCCCCTTCTGATCAGACGTGCTCTATATCTGTCTATGTAGGGTGTGTCTGCAGGGTACTGCATGGGGGTGTGCAGGTTATTCTGTACACAACTCCAGGGGGCACCATTCACATCATGGGTGATGGGAATGGATTGCCCTGGAGCTGTGCAGTATACAGCCTGTGCAACTAAACATGGCAGCCCTGTTTATCTGTATGAGGTGGAAACTGCTGTTAATAACTGCTTGAAACCCCCTGGACTAGCTGGTCCCCTGGGGTCCTCCCAGCATGGATGTTTTGTTACTCCAAGGCAGATGGTATTTTCTTTTCATTGCCAGACAGCCTGACTCCTGGCTACCCCCTCCTGCCACGTGGCTGCTTCAGCCGGCAGATCCAGCCCACCCGAGGCCTCTTGGCCAGATTGCCATCTGCGCTTCCCTCCGGGGAATACCGTGTTTCACTACAGCCTGGCCGGCATGTGACGGTGGGGGCCGAGGCAGGGGGTGGCCACTGTGCTCAGAGCCAGCTCTCTGCCGTGCAGGTGATGGTCTGGAACCTGGATACAAAGGAGTCTGTAATCATGAGCCCTGTGAAGACTATTAACTGTCACCAAGACGTGATCCTCTCCATGTCCTTCAACACTGACGGCAGCCTGCTGGCCACCACCTGTAAAGACCGCAAGATTCGGGTTCTCGACCCCCGAGCAGGGACCTTCCAGGTCAGTGCTAGGCTGGGGTCTGGCTTGGGGTCAGAGGAGCAAGGAGTGGAATGGGGATGGCAGAAGCTTCTAAGAACAGGGAGGTAATGCTGGTAGCGTTCTGGCCAAGCCTTCACACGTATTATCCCCAATTTGTTGGGAGATAGGGCGTGTCATCCCCATTTTTCAGATGAGAAAGATGAGGCTGAAGAGAGGCTAAGCGACATGCCTACATGGAAAGCTGGGATTTGAACCTGGTCTAACACCCAAGGCTGTCAGTGTGCCTCAGCTCTGTCAGGAGGCGTGACATGTTGGTCTATTGTGTGGCCTTAGGCAAGCACTTCAGGTGTCCGAGCCTCTGTTTCCTCATCTGCAACAATGGGCTGTTCATCCTTCCTCTCAGAGGATTAAGTGAGATAAGCCAGGTGACAGTGCCCGCCCGGCCCCATGCCTTGCATATAGTGGGTGCTCAATAATCTCTCAACAAGAGCATGGAGCGGGGCAGAAGTTCGCTTCTTGTTCTAGCTCAGTAAAAGAACCCTGGAAGGATTCTCCAGGCAGAGCTGGGGGAGAAAGGCAGGCGTTCCAGGTGGAGTAGTAGCATAAGCAAAGGCAGGGGAGTCCCTGACCACACATGTCTCTCCAGGAAGCCAGCTACAAGGGGCACCGGGCCAACAAAGTGCTGTTTCTGGGGAACCTGAGGATGCTGCTGTCCACAGGCTTATCCCGATGGAACAACAGGCAGACGGTCCTGTGGAACCAGGTGAGTCTCCCCCGAAACCCCAGCAACATCCCTCAGCATCACTCCAGCTGAGTGCTGACTTTGTTCATTCATTCGTTCATTCCTTCATTCATTCATTGAATTTATTGATGAATAACAGGGAGTTGCCAGTAGCCTGATGGCATAAGCCCAGATCTTGTGCATCTTGTCATTTGAGGAGGGAGAGGGGTCAGGATGAAGAAGAGGCTGAAGTATAGGGGAGGGGATGTGGCCACATCTGGAACCAAGACTGGGGGGAAGGGAGGAGGGGGCCTTCTGGGCAGAAGGAACAGCTGGAGCAAGGGCTAGGAATAAAATACTGAGGCATGTTTAAGGCAGCTGAGGGTGGGGTGTGAGGAGGGCCAGGCCAAGCAGTATTGATTTGAGGGATCACTTGGCCAGAGTTTCAAAGACTGGCCAGATTGCTTCCTGTCTCTGAATTTCCTTCTGCGTCTATTACTAAAAATTACAAAACAGGAGGCAGAGCGCTGGAATGAGATCAGGTGTGTGAGAAGTGATTTATTAAAGGCAACATGCTGGTATAATAAAAGGTGGAGGTTTCTCTCTCTCTGTGTGTCTCTCTCTCTCTCTCTCTCTCTCTCTCTCTCTCTCTCTCTCACACACACACACACACACACACACACACACACACACACACACACACACGCATGCACAGTCTTTCACGCTCTTTCATATGTGCACACACATACACACATCCAGAGCTCCATGGCAGGAATTCTTAGCTCAGAGCGCTAATGAGGGCCCCATGACTGACCCAAGGCCTTCCTGGTCTCCTTTCCCTTGCAGGATGACCTCTCTGTGCCTCTCACCGAGGAGGATCTGGACTGCTCCTCAGGAGTGCTGTTTCCCTTCTATGATGCGGACACCAACATGCTCTACGTGGTGGGGAAGGTCAGCCTGGCATGGGAGGGAGGTGGCCTCATGGACTCCTGAGGCAAGAGGCAGAACTACACCAAGCCTCGCCCCTGGTGACCAGACAGTAGCTTGGAGCCCTTGGGATGCAAAGCAGGGGCAGGGACAGACAAGAGTTGCTGGACACTCTCCTCTGTGGTGAGCCCAGCACCTGTCTCACACCTTCCTGGCTCCCCGAGAGCATCTGGGCCCAGGGCTTTAGTAGCTGGAAACCCCGAGCTGGTCCCTCCCCACATCTGGGTCCAGATGAGGAGGAACCAGTTGGTATTTCTAGTTCGGGCACCTTCAAATTTGGGGCAGAGCGGGTCTTCATTAGGTAGGACTCTCCGTACTTGGCAGCCCTGCCCCCTACCCACCAATGCCAGCAGCAGCCTTCTCCCATCCCCACTCTGCCCAGTCGTTATGACAGTGACAACCAGAAATGCCCCTAGAGGTAAGACCCACTGGCTGGTTTCAGGACATGCCACCCTGACCTTTGTGTGCAGCTCTTGAATGGGAGTGGGGTTCGGGCCTGTGCCCCAAGAACTTCTGCCTTGGAGGCTCCCGGGTAGGCTTTGGATTATGGTTGGGGGGACAGAGTGTTAAAATGAGGACTGTCCTACTGCCTTGGTGACAGTTCGCTGATGTTCCCTTGTGTGAGGTGGCTTTGCCAACTCTACCTATTGTGAATGCCAGGTTTCTGCTGCATTGCGGTGGGGGTCCAGGTTGGGAGTGGGGGGAAGGCGAATGGGAACCAGCTCTGAATCATACCCTCCCCCTCCTCAGGGAGACGGGAACATCCGCTACTATGAGGTGAGCGCCGACAAACCTCACCTGAACTACCTAACAGAGTACCGCTCCCATCACCCACAGAAGGGGATTGGTGAGTGTGGGGTACCAGGGCCGCTTGGGGCCTGGGGAGACAGGGAGGAGTCAGATTCAGGACCCGCTCTGGAGGGGCTCACATTCTGGAGGGAAGATGGCAGGTCAACACGCTCTTGACTTGATGGGACCGCTAGTGAGGTGTGCAGGAGGTTCTCTGGGCGGCTTTCTGGAGTAGGCGACATTTGAGAAACAGAAAGAGGAGGTTGAATGCAGCATGGGGAGAGAATGGAGGTGTTCCAGGTCAAAGTCAAGCAGTTGAAACAGGAGCAAGCAGATGGGAGAGACTGGCCTGAGAGAGCCCGTACTTTTTCAGTGTGTGTGGGGATAAAAAAAACAAAATGAGACAACTATTTGTTGTCCACAAGAAACTCACTTAAACATGAAGACACAGCTAGATTACAATTAAAGGGGTGGAGAAAGATATACCATGCTGACAGTAATCAAAATAAAGCTGGACATGCTCTAGTAAGAGCATCTGGGTCAGGAGCCGTGGGGATGGCAATGGAGGCCAGGAGCAGAGCACACTTCCTGCAAACGTCGAGCTACAATTGTTTAATTCCTTGAAGGTGGGGACAAGGTCTGATGATTTCAATCCCATTTCCCCAGCCCAGGGCCCGGCCCTGTTCACGTTTGCTCATGAACTGTTTGTTGAGGGAAGGACGGTGGCAGGAGGATGCTCTCTGTTCACATCCAGGTGTGCAGCCTGGCTGTGCCGCTCACACTGGGTCCCCGTGGCCCTAGCCCAGCCGGAACCGCTTGGCCCTTATTGGCTGTCTGCCTGCAGGTGTCATGCCAAAGAGAGGTCTCGACGTATCCTCCTGCGAGATCTTCCGCTTCTACAAGCTGATTACAGCCAAAAGCCTCATTGAACCTGTATCCATGATTGTACCCCGGCGGGTAAGGGTGGTGGTGACATCTGCAAGGGAGGCGGGGAACCCTTCCTGGAGAAGACAGACCCCAGAGCCTAGAGTCTGGAGCCCATGCCCCTGGGCCAGCAACAGGAAGGCTGATGGCCACTTCTTTCAAGCAGAAGAAAGCCTTTCTCGTGGTCAGTACAGCCTCATCGAGAGCTAGGAGTCCTGACTCTTACCCATCTCTGCTCTTGAGTTGCTGTGTGACCCTGGGCACGTCCCTTTGGTCTCTGGGCCTTGGTTTCCTCAACTCACAGGGGTAGGGGAGGGCCTAGACACCCAGCTGTCTAAGGGCCCTTCCCGACTGGGCGGCCTTCCCTACTACCCCAGCTCTCACTGTCCTGACTTCTTCTGCAGTCGGAATCCTACCAAGAGGACATCTACCCACCCACCGCAGGGGCCCAGCCCTCTCTGACAGCTCGGGAGTGGCTCAGTGGGATGAATAAAGGTAAGGAAGGCAGAGGAAAGGCCTTAGGTGAATGTGGGGGATAAACGGAGTATCCAGTGGCCCAAGAAGCTGAGAGGGGTTTAGACTGTATTTGTATTCTCCCATAACCCTGGAGGGCTGGTCCTTGACAGTCCCCAGTGGCTGCTATGATCACATACGGATCCAGGAAGGGAGGGACTTGTCCCAAGCGGCCCAGAAAAGTCCCTCCAAATCAAGGGAGATTGCTCCATGGAAAACTAAACTCTGGGCCGTGCAGAGTGACGGGATAGCCTCAGCTAGACGTCCTTGCTCATCCTCACACCCCAAACGCCACAATTACTCTTTGACCCAAGAGACCCTCTAGGCAGCAGCTCCCTACGCAGGTCCTTCTGCCCACTCTGCCTACCCTGACTCACCCTCCCTGCCCTGTCAACATAAGAGCCCAGCCCAGGGGAAAGCCTGTGTGTGCTCCCCACCCCCACGCCAGCAGCTGCCTCTCTGATTGGGTTCTCCCTCTGCTTCTACCCCACCCCCTTATTTGGCATAACCCTTAGTCTCAACCCTCCCTGAGCCTCCATTTCCTCATCCATCTCTGTGAAACCTGTCTTCTCTGCTTCTCAGGGGCTTTGGGAGAATTCATGAACTGGTATATGGCAGAGCACAGTGTGGGTGGGACTGTCCTTACAAAGCAAGGGCAAGGCTTCACCTGAGGAGCTCAAAGTGTTTGGGGCAGCACCAGGGCATGCTCTGTGCTGCTCCTACAGACCACGCTTCCTTAGATAGTCACAGGCATGGGTATTTGCTCTCTGATTGCCCCTGTCCGTGGGTTTGTGCCTGTCTGCGTGTGGCCAAATCTCCCACACCTTTGCATATTTCTCTCTGTGTGTGTGTGTGTGTGTGTGTGTGTGTGTGTGTGTGGCTCTGTGTGTCTCTGCATGACTTTGTGTGTCAGTGCCCCCATCCATGCCGATTTGCTCATGGCCACTCAGTCCTCACATAGCCCTTTGCTTCCCTCCCAGGGCCAATCCTGGTGTCCCTTAGGCCCGGCTCTGAGCTGCTGAGCCCCCTGCCTCTGCCCCGAGAGAGACCACTCTCCAGCCCCGTGGTCCCTGCCTCGCCCCAGCTCTTCAACCAGACAGAAAAACTGGTTGCAGAAGACGGCCGGAGGCCGTCCTCTCTGCTGGAGATAAAGGCGCCAAGGTGGGCGGCAGAAAACAGGCTGGAGGAGAAGAAAGCCTGGCTCACAAATGGTTTTGACATCTTCGAATGCCCCCCTCCAAAAACAGAGAATGAGGTGTGTGAATGAGGGAGGGTGGGGCTGCACTGGGTGGGGGTGGGGGTGGGGGTAGAACATGAAGGGCAAGAAAAATAACCAGCTGTGTGGCCTGGCCTAACTACTTAATTCACTTTGTTAATTCATTCAACAAACAGGTAATGAGCACCATCTGGATGTCAAGATGGTGGGTTTACAAACAGATGATGGGAAGTCATCTGTAAAATGCAAAGGGTTTAACTTGATGGGTATTCAAGTCCCTTTCAGTTCTAGGATTTCCTGTGCTTTTGGAATCAACATGTGTTAAGTGTCTGCTGTGTGCCAGGCCCTGTGGTGGGCACTCTGATATATCATCTGAGTGAATTCTCTCAGCCGCCCTGAGAGTCAGTAGGTAGTGGCTAAAAACCCAAGGGCCGGCATCTCAGGGAGGGATTCTAATCCTGGTTCTGCTGAGCACTAGCTGTAGGACCTCAGCCCTGAGGGGCGGGGCTGAGCCTCTCTTAGCCTCAGTTTGCACAGTGGTAACTGTGGGGGCACTAATACTACCACCCTTACAAGGGGGAGTACCCAACACCTAGTACCATTCTGAACAGCAGCAGCAATCGTAATAATGCTGAGGTTAGTTTTCTGACCTCCATTTCTCAGAGGAGGAAATTAAAGCTCAGAGGGTAAGTAACTTGCCTGAAGTCACACGATTTAGTGGTGTCGAAAACTCCAATCTCCAGACATCAGAGCCAAATACACTTTCCTCCATCCCATGGGGGACTCTAAGGAGGTAAAAAATGCCTGAAATGTCATCTTTTTGAATTTTATTTATCAAGTGAAGAGAAGTGTTTGTGAAAGATCTATGCACAGTGGCTGCCCCCTTAGGCCTCAGCCACATTAATTTAATCACCTCCACCTTTCTGAGTCCAAAAGGGGCAATGTTTTCTCCTGTCTGCTGGTGTCCTGCCCCCTGGCATCTTAGGACACCCAGATGACCTTTCCCTCTCTCCTGTGCTTTCCCAGCTGCTACAAATGTTCTATCGGCAACAAGAGGAGATCCGAAGACTCCGGGAGCTGTTGACCCAGCGCGAGGTCCAGGCCAAACAATTGGAACTAGAGATCAAAAACTTGAGCATGACCTCAGAATGGCTCTGAGCAGAGGTCTCTTGCTCTCCTCGCCCTCAGGGACACCACTCGGCTCCATGGGGAGGTTCAGAACCAAACCATAAGTCCCCCAAGAACAACCACTATTTCTATATTTTTTACCAGAAAACAAAACTTGGTCACTGAAAGATTTCCAGTGGGACATGGTGCCGTTTTTCTATTTGCCTTCTTGAAACAACAATGTCTGAATTGACTCTTTTTAGATGATACCTTGCCTTCTGTTTAATTCTGTTTGTAAGGGTCCAAGATGAGCTATAACGTCTCAAGGGAAAGAACATTGTACAATAGAAAGTTAGAGCTGGAAGGACCTAGGTGAAGCTACCTGTGATTTTTAAACTGTGGGTGGTCCGTAGAATGGGGAGAAGGCTAAGCAGGAGAGCTGTGCCCCCCCATTTCCACCAGACAGCTCCCCTTCTTTTTGTTTTATATATCGGCTCTATGGAATACATAATTCTGCAACTCGAAAAAATTTAAAGTTTGAAAACCAGTGATTAGCCCAACTTCCTTATTTACAGGCGGGGAAACAGATCCCCAGAGAATTCATGGCAGGAGGCTGGGCTGAGCTCCTGGTCTCCTGGGTCTGTCTTTCTGCTGTTTCTGGTCCGATACAATTCTCAGATCACAGGGCAGGAATCCATTGGTCTGGCCTCAGCTGCGCCCCTGACTTGCACAGTGACTACTGGCAAATCATTCCCTTTCTGGTCTCAGTTTCTCCATCTGAACAAGGGGGACCCTGGAGTCTGCCACCTGAGACAAGAAGTGTTGTCCTTGACCTGAGGAAAACTACATGTAGGATGATGATCTAGGTTTGCTGCGGGAACTCACAAGACATTGGCAAAGGGGCAGTGGGAGTTTAACTTTAGGGAAAGAAGTCAAGGTTCAGGCCAATTCTAGAACGCTGACAGGAAGCCCAAACCATCCTCTCCAATGAATCAGTGGGATGTGGGTAGATACTCCCTTATGTGGGATGCAGACATCAGGGCGTTGGCTAAAACCACTGACTGCCACCAAAGCCCTGAGGTCACAAGAGCCTGCTCCTGCCAGAAAGATGTAAGCAGATGTCAGCCCAAAGGAACAGAAGAGGCCCCCTGGAGGTAGGAAGCCCCAGCACTGGGAGTAAGCCTGCAGAGCCCCCTGGCCATGAGGACTCTGGGAGAAGGATGACTGCACTAGGCAAGGAAGTAGAACCACATGGCCCTAAAATTTCCCTTTCAGTCGGAGAGCTTTTCTGGGTCCCTCCTTTGTGAATCTGTTCTGAGCCCTTCTCTAAGATTCTTTCTCAGTGGTCAATACAACGGCCCAGCTAGAGATGGAATGTTGGAAGCTAAGTGTACCCCTCCTTACTGAGGAGGTGCAGACAGTGAGTTTTGCCTGTGCCACAGGGCGATCCTGGAGCTAGGATGGGGAATGCAGGAGGCCACCTGGCCTGGTAGGTTTCAGCCCAGGCTATATGTTAGGATCCCTTTGGTCGTGTTCGGGAAATACAGCTAGCCAGGCCCAATCCTGGAACAGTTTAAGCTGACTCTGTAGAGTAGGGGTTGGCCTTGTGTATGTTTTTATAAGCTTCCAGGTGATTCTGCAATACAGTGAAGGTGGAAACACTCTGGGCTAGTCCATCTGTACCTATCTACAGTAAAGACAAGGAGGGTAAGGAACACCAGACAGGAGCTGGGACTCCAACTCTATGCTCTAAGTCCTGGCTAGAGGCACCTAAAATCAGGAAGCATTGTACCGAGCCCTCCCTCAGGTCTCTGGGGGCTCTGTGCTCCTGATTGCCCACTCCCCTAACCATGGCTGAGCCCCCGTCTGCCTGCACACATCAGGCGCCCCAGTTCCTTGTCTTGCTCTCCATTTACTCAATCGCTGGGGCCTGCCAAGCTTGCCAAAGATCAAATCCCAGGCGTTGTCAGGAAAGCAGAGCTCCACTGGGTGGGTTACCTCTCCCACCTAATTTGTGGCCAGCACTTCACAGTTTACAAAGCCTGCCCACCTCTACTCACTGACACAACCTACTGTAACACGGGTCCGGCAGTCTGTATTATCCCCATGTTCAGGACGGCACAGAAACGTCCCTTCTCAAGCTCTCCCCACCTCAAAGGAACCCAGATCTCATGCTAAGAAACAATCCATGAACATACTTGTTTCCTTCCTTCCTTTCTTTCTTTCTTTCTCTTTCTTTCTTTCTTTCTCTTTCTTTCTTTCTTTTGTCTTTCTTTCTTCTTTCTTTCTTTTTTCTTTCTTTCTTTTTTCCTACATCTAAAGTAAATTATTTAAATTATTTCACAGCAAGGGAGAGGGATAGATAATTTTTATCAGATATTTTTTTAAGCCATTTTAAAAAAATTACGTTGTGTATGTTCTTGATTGATGAAGTGGAACTCGCCCAGCATGTGCAGGGCCAGGCCCTCATGCTCAGGGCCAGCAGAAAGTGCATTCATCTCCTCGCTCCATGCCCTGGGAGCCCCCTGACTGTTGACTCAGGGACTTTCCAAGAATGAAGACAGCGCTGGGAAATGAGCTTTGGGGGTGTATCCACCTTAGTGCTACAATAATTGTTCTTCCTGGAACAAAAACTTGAGATTGTATTATAGAGGGAAGCAGGAAGTCAGGAATTGATCTATGTTTTTCATATGAAACCGTGCCTGAAACAGTTTGATTGTTTTAATGTTGTTTCTGAAATTCCTTGTATCTTTGTAAAAAAAATAAATAAAAGTGAAAATAAATAGATGTGGAATCGTGCAATGGAAAGAATATAACAAAATAATAAACAGCATCTGCCTAGATATTTTAATATATGGAGCTTTCCTTTTCTTGATTTGTTCCACAAATACTAATTAAGTACCTGTTTGTTTGGTCCAGAAACCAGGCTGGGAAACAGATAAGACAGAATTGGTTCCTGCCCTCTGAAGAGTTTTCAGTTACGGTTTGAGGGAAGGAGAGGGCCATGATAGGGGATGTGCAGGCTGCTCTGGGAGGAGAAGCAAGGAAGGCTTCCTGGAGGAGGTGATATTTAGGCAGAAATGAAGGCTAGATAGGAGTAAGCAGGGAAAAGGGCTTTTGAGGAAAATGTGTTCCAAGCAGAGAAAAATGCCTGTTCTCTGAACTAGAAACAAGCAAAGGGTGGAGCATAGACAGGCCAGGGATTAAATGTATTAAGAACCAAGAGCCTTGTAGGTGGGAGCTGAGACTTTTCCCCCACAGCTGTTTTGAGGTATGATTGACAAATAAAAATCATGTATTTAGGTTGTATGTGATTTTGTAAGGTGCACATTGTGATTAGTTAACATTATGCATACATTGTGAAATGATTACCACAATCAATACACCTATCACCTCACAGTTACCATTTGTGTGTGTGTGGTAAGAACACCTGAGATCTACTCTTAGCAAATTTTGAGTATATAATACAGTATTCTTTTTTTTTTAAAGATTTTATTGGGGAATTGGGGAAGGGGAACAGTGTTGGGGACTTGGGGAAGGGGAACAGCCAAGTTGTTGTCCTTCAATCTTAGTTGTGGAGGACGCAGCTAGCTCAGCTCCAAGTCTAGTCGCCATCCGGCTGCCCGTCGGCAACTCATGGTCACTCAGCTCAAGGTGCTACGTTCAATCTTAGTTGCAGGTGGGTATAGCCCACCATCCCATGTCGGAGTTGAATCGGCAACCTTGTTGCTAAGAGCACATGCTCTAACCACTTAGCCATCCGGCCGCCAGTGGGCAGCTCAGGGCAGCTTAGCTCAAGGTACGGTGTTCAACCTTGTTGTTAGCAACATGTGCTCTCACCAGCTGAGCCATTCTGCCACCTGTTGGCAGCTCAGCGACAGCTCAGCTCGGGCGCAGCTCACTGGCCCATGTGGGAATCGAACCGGCAACCCTGTTGCTCAGAGCTTGCACTCTTAACCGAGCCACTTCACCGGCCCCTATAATATGGTATTCTTAACTATAGTCAACATGCTGCATATTAAATCCCCAGAACTTATACATCTTATAACTGAGTTGGTACCCTTTTCCCCCATCCCTCATCCCCTGGCAACCATGTTTCTACTCTCTTGCTATACGTTGGATTTTTTTTCCCCTTGGATTCCACATATAAGTGATACCATACAGTTTTTTCTCTGTCTGGCTTATTTTACTTGGCATAATGCCCTGCACGCTCATCCATGTTGCAAATGGCAGGATTTCCATTCTTTTTTTAATTAATTTATTTTTTAAAGATTTTATTGGGGAATTGGAGAAGGGGAACAGACAAGTTGCTGTTCTTTTGCTCTTCAGTCTAGTTGTGGAGGACGTCGCTTCACTGGCCCATGTTGGTATTATCATTGCTCTCTTCCCAGGAGAGGCAGATCGGTCACTGGCCATTGGACGGCGGCTCACAGCGGCTCTTGGCAACTCACACTGGCTGCCGGCCACTCACAGTGGCAGCCCACTGCAACAGGGGCTGCAGCCTACACCGTCGCCAGCAACTCATGACTTCCCAACTCCATGTTGAGCTGTTGTTCACCATCTTAGCTGTAGAGGGCCCAGCGTCACTGGCCCTAATGTGGGATCCGAACCAGGGCACTGTTGCTCAGAGCCGGCATCCCAAGCCAACTCCTAACCAACGTGTCACTCGGCTGGCCCAGGATTTCCATTCTTAGGCCGGAGTAACATTTCACTGTATATACATATTCCACATCTTCTTTATCCTTTCATCCATCAAAGAACACTTAGGTTGTTTCTATATCTTGGCTGTTATGAACACTGCTCTAATGAACATGGGAGCACACATATCTCTTCTAGATAACTGACTCCATTGTCATCCTGGATGAACACCCCGAAGTGAGATTGCTGGATGATATGATAGTTCTATTCTTCTTTTTCTTTTTTTTTTCTTTTTTCTTTTTTTTGAGAAACCTCCATACTTTTTTCCATAATGGCTGTACCAATTTACATGCAGTTGATGCTGACACCTTAGCCTGGGGGCAATTGGAGTTTCTTACAATTATGGGAATGCTTATTTCTCCTGAGGAAAAGGGCAAGAGAGAATCAAGAGAAAGTGGGAAGTGTAGGTAATGCACACCATCTGGGAAGGGCACAACCAATTCTAGTCCCAGCCGTAAGGTTACATTTTTCTGAGCATGACAGGGCTAGTGTCCCTAAGCAGGAGAAGCCTACTTCCTTCCAGTTAGCCCATTAGGAGTGTAAAAATTAATAAAAGGAACCCTCATTTACAATGGACTCGGGAGGCCAGAAGGGGGAGCCCCAGGCACTATCACTCTAAATCAATTACAGACCCTAACAGGAAGAATTGTCAACCAGGGACAACCGGAAGAGATGCACCTTCCAAATGGTAGTAACCTTACTACTCCAGCAAAAGGAAGGAATATTTCCTTCTTGCCCAGCAATTCAGCCAATGAGAAACTCACCCCCCTTGAACTCGCACTTTCTTCCAATGGTCTTTCCTTCAAAACGGCCCCTCCCAACTCCCTCCCTTTTCTCTATAAAGTAACATTCCTCTCCTTTGCTTGTAGGACTTGCAGGTATGGTTTTTGCTGTCTCTTGCTTGTCCCTAATTACAATTCCTCTGCTATTCCCAAATAAATTCATTTTGCTAGTAAAATAACTGGCTGTTTAAGGTCTGCAGGAGCGAGCCCCCACTTGTGCTGTGGCCACCTCTAGGCCAGACACAAAGCTGGCTAGACCACGCCTGCTAAAAACTGCAGGGACGGGTCGGGCAAGAGAGCAATCCACTAGTCAGGAGGGTGATGATGCAGGCACTGCCCCCCGACCTTGGCTTGCTGCCATTGAAGAGCATCCCGGAAACAGGGCGGGCCTGAGCCGCTCCGCCCCGCTGCCCTGGTTTCGATTCCCCACTAGCGCTCCTTCCTGCACCGCAGCCCTGGTTTCGATTCCCCACTAGCGCTCCTTCCTGCACCGCAGCCGCCTGAAACTGTGGAGGTGAATGGCGAGCGCAGCGGCGATCAGCCGAACACCTGGGGGGCCCGGTCCCGCCGAGTCAGAGGTAGCCTGTGGCTGGCGCTGCCCTGAGCACGGCGACCGCGTGGCCGAGCTCTTCTGTCGCCGCTGTCGGCGCTGCGTGTGCGCGCTTTGCCCGTTGCTGGGCTCGCATAGGGACCACCCAGTGGGCCTGGCGTTGGATGAAGCGGCACGCGTGCAGGTGTGGACGCGGGGCGCGCGGGGGGCCGGGGGTTGGGGAAGAGCCCGGGAGCAACGGGAGAGGAGGAACGTGCCCTGGGTCCAACAGCCAGCTGCCGTTAGACCTGGAAACTCCCAAGGCAGCCCGGCGATCATCCACACGGCCGACCTGTAGTTCAGAATGTGCACCTGAGGGCCAAGGCAGGGCAGAGGCGAGCCAAGGCCAACAGTTAACCTTCAGAAGAGGTGGGTTTCGCGAGTGACAACTTGGGAGGCCCGGCTGTACCCAGATACCCTTGAGCTCACCCACTATGGCAGGTCCACCACACTGCCCTTGGGCTGGGGAAAAAAAATCTGCCTTTTAACGAATATTAAAATCCCTCCCTATTAGAAAACTGCCATGTAGCCTGGCAAGCCACACAAACATCTCTGGATGTTTTCTCTCCTGGAGTTCACAGGGAGAGGCTGTGGACTGCCTGATTGCGCTGAGAGCAGCCTCAGCTGTCACCTCAACCGACCCCTCTCCGCCCTTCCCCCTTCCACACACTCCTATTCCACACACAGAGCAACCAGCCTGATGGGAGCTAGGGTCGCCACTGTATCGACAGGTAAAATAAGGTTCTGGAGGCAGAAGCAGGCCTTGAACATGGAACTCCACCAGACGGATTGCCCCCCACAGGACCCAGTCTATCCTGGAAGCCCTCACCCTTCCTTGATCTCAATAGTGGTGGAGGCTCTGGACTCTTGTGCCGGCCTTGTGGCGGACTTGTTCTGTGGCTCCGGTCAAATCCGTCTCTCTGGGCTAGGCAAGGCCTCCTGTCTTTGACAGACGTAGATTCTACCACTAACACCTCCAAGAAGTCTTCTATGATTAAGCCAGCCCCACAGAGAATGACCTTTCCCTTGCACGGCGTGACTTAACACCATCACATTGTGAGATCCTTGGAGCTCCTAGGTGAGAATGGGCCCCATGAGGGCCAGTCCAGCGGGCGGAGTCCTGGGTTCAAGGCTTGCCTGTGCCATTCAGGTCCTCCTCTTCTTCTCTATAAAATGACTGTAATAATAATAGCTCCTCAAAAGGCTGTTTTCCAGAGTTCATAAGGGTGCTATCCGAAGATATGGCTTGTGGGTCTTATAGGTAAGCCCACCCACCTACCTATGGGTGCCCATTTTGTATCCACACACCCACCCACTCACCTATTTCTTTATTGCTTATCTGTCATCCATCTGTTCATTCATTCGTTCATCAAACATCCATTCAGCACGTACCTTGTGCCATGAGTCTAGGAATAGATCAATTTTTTTTCTGACCTGGAGGAGTTCTCTGGCTGATGGGGTGAGAACAGTGACAATACAGTGTGATAGGTATTGTAACTGGGACACCTGAGGCAGTGGTCAGTGGGCGCCAGATAGAAGACAATGTGAACCAAGGACCAGAAGCCCACAAAGACTTCCTGGAGGGGGTGCCATTGGAACTGGCCTTGCAAGATGAGTAGACCACTTTCACCAAGTACCAAGATAGGAGAAATACCCTGCGACTGGAGGCCACAGGCACCAGGAGGCTGGGTTATTCTTGCTGATGGATAGGGATTGGACTTGAAGGCTTAGAAATCACAGTGGGGGTAAGGATATGCTCCTGGAAGTTGAGGCTATGGCTTATACTTGGGTTACTATTATGTCCCCACCCCCACGCCCCACCTAGAATAAAACTGCACGTAGTAGCAAATGCTTGTTGGATATTAAAATAATAATAGCTTCATCTATTAGCATTTACTGTCTGCCAACCACTATACCATGCTCTTGGTGTACTTCATTCTCCACAGCAACCCTATGGGGTTATCCCCATATTTACAGCTGAAGAAATGAGATTTAGAGAGGTGAGGTCACTTGCCCAGGTCACATGGGACTCAGGCCAGGAGGTCTCATCTGACTCTGGGGCTTATACTCATTACTTGCTGAGTGGCTCCACCTCTCCACTTGAAGTTGGCAGCCCCTGGTAATTCTATTTGATTCAGCACACGCTTCTAGGTCACCCCCTGGCCCCTATGGGGGAGCCAGGAATGGAGCAGGCCTGCTCTCAGGAAGTTCCCAGTCAGCCCAGCAGCTGAGCTTAAGGCCAGCTGAAAGAAGACGAAGGTGGGGGGAAGATCCCATTGGCGGGAGAGAGGGTCACAGAGCAGGCCTTTGAAAAAATGGCAATTGCAAAAAGCAGAGGTAGGAAAGGGAGCCATGTCAGGTGGCAGGGAGGGTGGAGCATGAACCCCGCAGAACTCTCACACATGCAGGTCTTCTGAACCCCAGTCCAGGCCAAAGGGCCACAGACCTCCCTGGGATACACGTTCCACAAGGGCAGCTCCTAGAACAAGGCCCAGTTCATAATAGGTGTTCAGTTAATATTCACTCTAAGTGAATGCTCTTTCCCTGCCCCCAAGCTGCTTGCCTTAAGGTCCTATTTGAGGGACTGGAAAAGCAGGCCACAAGCAGGATTTTCCTAGAAAAAGCAGGGGACATCAAGGTTTGAAAAATCCCTGATGTTGGGCCAGCCGAGTGGCGCGATGGTTAAGAACTCGCTTGGGACGCCAGAGGGCCCCAGTTCGGATCCCACATATGAGGGCCAGTGACACTGCCCTCCACAGCTAAGATGCTGAACAACAGTTCAACCTGGAGCTGGGCTGTCGTGAGTCACCGGCAACGGCATAGACTTTAGCCCCTGTGGCAGTGAGTTGCCATGGGCTACTGTGTGTAGTCAGCAGCCAGCGTGAGCGGCCAGCAGCCGCAGTGAGCGGCCGTCCAGAAGCCGGCGACTGATCTGCCTCGCCCGGGAAGAGCGCAATGATGGTTCCAACTTGGGCCAGTGAAGCAACGTCCTCCACAACTAGACTGAAGAACAAAACGACAGCAACTTGTCTGTTCCCCTTCCCCCAATTCCCCAGCGCTGTTCCCATCCCCCCAATTCCCCAATAAAAATCTTTAAAAAAAAAAATCCCTGATGTGGGCCTCTGAGGAATAGAGGGGCCCTCATTCCAGCTCATCTTTCAACTTGCCACTTGACTTTGGGCAAGTCGCCCCACCCAAGTCTCAGATACCTCAGCTAAAACACAATACAGAAGTGAGAGGAGATGACCCCTGGGGAGCCTTGTTATCTTGAAAGTGACAGTATTAAGACTTTTCCCTTAATTCCTCACATACAGAAACTCACCCAACAATGTTTAAAGCAGCTGGAAATCAAGAAGCAGCAGGAAGTTGGCAACAGAAGGCAGATAGAAGATGCGGCTGAGAAGCTCAAGGCAAGTGGACGTTTCTTCCTTATTCTAGTTGAGATGTCCACATTTCCCCTTGGACACAAGGTTCTCCCAAATATGGAGCCAAGGAAAAATAAAAAGCAACCTCAAGCAGATCAGGTTTGATGGGACCTGGGGCTGCTACAGTTTAGGGGGTGCTTCTTGAGCCAAAGAACACAAAGTTAGATGCGAGACCATGAAGGGGCTGTGCTAGCGAGGGTCCTGTGGCTACTGTTTCATTAGCTTTATGGTGAGTCCATCTCTGCCCAGCGCCCTAACCTTGGCACGGACACCTCACAAAATGGAGGAATGGCCTTTTCTCCCACCATCGCCAAGGCCATTTTCTTGAAGGGACTAGCCCTCCATCCCCTGCACACCTTAAACAAAGCAAAACACAGCTTAAGGAACATGAACGTAGCTCTTTAGGCTTCAGTGCTATGGTGAAAGGAAATAAGGTATAAATATATTCCATAAGTGTTTGCTTTCTGTAGGCTTCTCCTTTCATCACAATGTTTATTTACATGGATTCTTTTGTGGGTTTTAATGGGAAATCAGGGCTGACGATATCATGAGCTGCCATTTTGACTGTGAAAAAGTTGTTTCGTCTCTGGGGGCTTTTTATGTGAACTTGGCCAGTCCCTGCCCCTTACAGCCTCAGCACCCCCTCCTCAAAGAGAGGGCTGGAGTGGGATTTCCTCCCAGGGCCTGTCCCACTGAGAGCTCTGTGAACCCTTGACTGACTACCACAAGTCAGGCAAAGAGACTCGCTCTGACCGTGGGAGTAGCTAGCACCCAGATCTTCCTGAGGCCAGGCCCACAGTGGAGTGGAGATGCCAAAGCCCACGCCAAGCCACGGAATCGGCCTCCTGTTTGCCCAATATCCACTATCTGTAAGGTGACTACAGGCCCCAGTTTGCTGGGGACAGCTGTGGTTTACACCTGTGGCCAAGGCTTAATTATTAATAGTGTCCCCCCATGTCTTCAAGAGTAGTATTCCAGTCCCAGGCAGATAAGTCAGCTGAAAGGTTTGAGAACTGAAAGTTGGCAATCCCAAAGGCATGGGGGAGGTGCTTTGGACTATTTAGCCAGAAGAACCAGGGGCAGGGCACAGGTTCACTGTCTGCAAATCTCTGAGCAGATATAGTGTGAGGACCCACAAAGGCAACAGTTAGGAGCCATGTGGGGAGGCTAAGGGGTCAGGTTTCAGGTTAATCTAAGGTATGGCTTGCTTTCTTTTCATTTTCTCCTCAACTTTCAAACTTTTATTTTGAAATAATTACAAATTCATAGGTTGTTGCCAAGATACAATAGTATAGAGAAGTTTTGTATACTTTTCACCTAGTTTACCCCAAGGGTTACATCTTACCTAACTATGGTACAATTTCAAAACCAGAAAATTGACAGGGTGTGTATAAGCTCTCTGTCAAGTTATCACATGTGTAGGTTCAAGTAACCGCCACTGCAGTCAAACTATAGAACTATTCCATTATGACCGAAAATTTCCTCATGCTACACATTTATAGGTACCCCCACCCCTGCCCCCAACAATCCCTAACTCCTGGCAGTCACTAATTCTCTATAATTACAACATTTGACAATTCATAAAAATGGAATCATACATTACGTGACTTTTTAAGACTTTTGTCTCTCAAAGTAATGCCCTTGAGATCCATCCAAGTTGTTGCACGTGTCAGTAGTTCATTTCTTTGTATTGACGAATAATATTCCAGCAATCTGGTAGCTTGGACATACCACATTTTTTTTAAACCATTCACCATTTTAGGATATTTGAGTTGTTTCCGGTTTGGGGCTATTAACAAAGCTGCTTTGTACAATTATATACAGGTCCTTGTGTGGACATAAATTTTCATTTCTCTGGGATAAATGCCGAGGGCTAGTGCTGGGTTGTATGGTACTTAACATGTTGAGTTTTTTAAGAAACTGCCAAGCTCTTTTCCAGAGTAGCTGTCCCATTTTACATTTGCACCAAATGTATGAGAGATCCAGTTTCTCTGCATTCTTGCCACATTTAGTATTTTCACAAGTCTGTATTTTTGCCATTTTGATAAGTGTGTAGTGATATCTCATTGGGGTCTCCATTTGCATTTCCCCAGTGGCTAGGGATGTTGACATCTTTTTTATGTGCTCATTTGCCATCTGTATATCCTCTTTGCTGAAAGATCTCTTCATATCTTTTACCATTTCCAGATTCGATTGTTGGTTTCGTTACTGTTGGGCTTTGAGAGTGGTCTGTATATACTAGATAGGTGTCCTTTGTCAATTTGTGGTTTGCAAATACTTTGTCCCATTCTCTGTAGCTTGCCTTTCATTGTCTTAACAGTCTCTTGCAGACGAAAAGTTTAATTTTGATTAAGTCCAATTTGTCAATTTTTTTTTCCTTTAAAGATTGTACCTTTGGTGTCATGTCTAAGAACTCTTTGCCCGGCACTAAGTCCCAAAGTTTTCCTCATTTTTTTTCCCTAAAAGTTTTATAATTTTACATTTAAGTCCATGATTCATTTTGAGTTAATTTTTGCACAAGATATGAGATTTAGCTTGGGGTTCTTTTTTTCCTTATGGATTTCCAACGCCATTACTCTCCACACCATTTGTTAAAAGACTATGCTTTCTTCATTGAATTGCTTTTGTCAAAAATCAATTGGCTGTACTTGTGTGGGGCTATTTCTGGGCTCCCTGTTCTGTTCCATTGATCTATGAGTCTGACCCTCTACCAGTACTAAATACTACACCGCCTTGATTACTATAGCTGAGAATAAGTTTTGAAATACAGATGCCTCCCACTTTAGTCTTCCTTTTCAAAATTATTTTAGCTATTGTTTGTCCCCTGTCTTGCATTTAAATTTTAGAATAATCTTGTCATAGATACAAAAAGTAGACTTTGTTGGGATTTTGATAGAAATTTCATAGACTTAAGCCTATATATCAAATTGGAGAGAATTGACAGGACATCTTTCCTAGGCTCTCTTCCAATCCGTGAACACGGTGTGTCTCTTTATTTACTTCGATCTTTGTTTTCTCTCATCAGCATTTATCTGCATACAAATCCCGAACATGTTTTATTAAACTTACATCTAAGTGGCCCTCAGAAAGTATTAAGAAAAATATTATTAATGGTCGGCATTTTAAAGCTGAGGGGTATTTGCATAAAAAGTTAGATGTAGGAAGTAGGAAGATGTGGCCACCATAGGCCTACGTTCCCACCTGGGAGCTGTCAGCGCTGAGCAATGGACACTGTCAGGAGAAGAGCTTGTGATCCCCAGAAGTCACAACCTCTGCCTGCCCACTCTCCTCATGTTACCAGCCTGGCTCCCATGGGAATGTATATTTTAATTCCTGACCAAGAAGTAAATTTTTTTAAATTCAGCCATAATTTTGCCACTTCAGTACAATCATTAGTCACATTCTGAGATTTTTTTTTCTGTACACGTATATGCTTTTCTATAGCTTGAGATGTATATAGAATTCTAGTATCAAATCCCCAGTCTGGAGGTGAGGCACAGTGGTTTGTTTCCTTGTGTGACTTGTCATTTGTGTCATCATCTTGCCTGTAGATATTTTCCATGGTGTCTCTTATGCCCTGGGTTGTGAAAGTGCCCCTTCAGAGCACTGTGGCATGAGCACCTACGGGGGACTCTTGTGTTTCAGTAGTTCCAAACCGGTTGTCATGTGAATTTTTTAGTTTTGAGGTTCTGTGAATTTTGACTCCAAGCCTGTTGTTTGGTTAGTTTATTTTGTTAGTGACTCTCTTTTCGCCCATGACAGCAAAAAGATGGATGGATCCTTGCCCTATCCCCAGGTGAGTGGGTAGAGTTTTTCTGGTGCCTAGTTCATGGATGGAGCAGCTCTGTATGACTCTGGCTTGATGCAGGTGGCGCGCTTCCCACTCTCAGCTGAAATGGGGTCAGATGACCCAAGTGCCTCCTGGATAAGCAGGCCCCAGGGAGGTGTGCTCTCTCACACACCTCTACCTCCACCCCTCCGGGGCTCACTCAGCTCAGCTCCTGCCCATGGCTCTGACACCAAGTTCCCTCTTGGTTTTAGGCACCTGAAGGTTTCCTTGGTTGTTGTTTGGTTGGTTGTGGGGTTGGTTTTGTTTTTGTTTTTTTGAGCTTGGTCACATAATTTCGAAATGTACTCATTTTATTTTTATGTATTTGAAGTAGGAAGGTGGGATTTTCCATGTCAGCTCTTTCTCCTATATGTCATTTTTTTTTTTAAGCTGAGCCATCCTGCCACTTGTTGGCAGCTCAGCGGCTGCTCATCTCGGGCCAGGAATCGAACTGCTGTTGCTCATGAGCTCAAACTCTTGAGCGAGCTCTTAACCAATTGAGCCACTCGGCTGGCCCTATATGTCATTTTATATGTGGGGTTTTTGTTGTTTGTTTGTTTAAGATCATAACATATCCCTGTGTCACTGAAAGTTCTTTATCAATGTTTGTATTGGTAGTTATATATGCCATGATATGGATCTCCCATGATTCATTAAGCCATTTTCCTAATGTTGAACATTTAGATCATTCCTAATTTTTCATTAATATAAAATAGCACCTACAGTGAACATTTTTGGCACCTTGATTTATTTCCTTCGGACATTTTCCCAGAAGTGATGCATCTGGCTCAAGAGATACGAATATCTGTAAGGATTAGCGTGCATTCTGCCAAACTGTGGCAGGCGTAGTTTGTGGCTGTGAGGTCTGGAGCAGCCGTGCTTGCTTACATACCTGCTGTTCCATACTTGTTTACACAGAGACAGTACTAGGGAAAAGGCCGTTCACCTGAAATTTAATCCATAAAACAGCTTTGCAAATAAAACCGATGAAGTTCATACGTGGTCTGAAGTCTGCTGTTCAAAAGTCAATGACCAAGCCTAACCAACCACTCCTTTCCAGAGACGATAAAAAAGGACTTGGTTATTAATCTCCAGCCAACGCCTGTTAAATGATTTCCTTTGACATCTGTGTTAATAGGCTGTTTGCTTCCCCATC